TCATTCTGTTTGAAATTTGAATCAGGTTTCTGGGTTTCCTTAAAAAAAAAAAAAAAAAAAAAAGTAAAATCAATTAGAAGTTAGAACACCGCTCAGAGTCTGCAGACCGTTGGTTGTATTAGCTGAATTATGGCTATCTCCCCCTATATACGGTATCCTTTTTTTTTTTCTTTTTTTTCCCCTGGCAGTTGAAGGAAAAACAAAGTCTAACAACCGATCACTAAAAAGAGAGCACTCTCTCTACCGTTGATTGGCATTGAACTCTGGAGTTCGATCATTGAATGCCACTGAACTCTGGAGTTACAATGCGATGAAGCGATCAACTGGGTACATAGGATCGCGCAAACTCCAAAGAGAATAGATAGAGAGAAAACCGCACTTCCAAAACTTATATAACTACAACAGGGATGCATGTGGGAAAGGAGGAGGGTTAGGTGGAGAGAAGGGGCAGGCAGGGAGTGCCTCATTAGTCACACAATCAGATTGTTGTATAGGGGACTTTGCCGCTCTCCCTGCCCCGATCTGCTATGCATCATACCTCGCGGATGAGTTTCAGGGGTCTTAGAAGAGAAGGACGTGGGAGGCAAAGGTGTGTGGGAGGGGGCGACTGCACGGGGACCAAGAAGAAGCAAGGGGGATGAAAAGACAGTCGAGACACGCAATCAAGACAAGACAAGAAGAAGGAAGGGAGACAAGGACAGTTGAGAAAATCTCGGCAATCAAGAAGGAAGCTGGAATCCGAAAAAGATGGAGGCGGGGAGGAAAAGACGTGTGCAAGAAAAGTCAAGTACCCAGGACTCCCAGGAGGGGCAGAGTTCAGTTGTAAAAGCAGCAGCAGGGTGAAGCAGCAAGAAAGGTGGGGGGGGATTTCCGCAAGGAAACCAAAACTTTAAGTTCAAAAATACTTCCATCCAAGTTGCCACGTGGAAAAAAGACTTAACTGAAATTACCAAACCAAACGTGCGGGCAGCCTTGGCTTGACACATCATCGTGTAGAATCTACACGCCCTCGCTAAGGCGCGCTCCAGAAGTTTTTTTTTTGGCTTCTGAGGTCGGATGGGATCGGGCGCATTAGCCATGGTATGACCGTACCATAAAAAAATGGACCATTTCTCGATTTATGCGTGTCATCCGTGCGCAGGGGCCATGCTAATCTTCTTTCTGTGTATCGTTCCAATTATTCTTCTCTTTTTTTTTTTTTTTTTTTCAAAGGCTAATTCTTTAAGCCCAACCAATTCAATTACCTGTCAAATCTGGACAGGACGACCTTTCAGGCCTTTTTTATTGTCATTATAGTATTATGGGGAACCCCGTAGCAACCACATCCTCGCTCAAGCCTCCAACGAGGGAACATGCGGGAGCTGCACCCACCTGCAGGTGCGATACCTGCTACAGCAGGTGGGCAGTACCGGCCAGGGGTCAGCCAGTAGCATCAAGACCGAGCTTCTTCGGTGGGCCAGTCACTGTGCCTCCCCTCTGGTCCCCTCCCCTTATGAACATCAGCAGTCTCTGCTCAATGCCACTAGCTCAGTTGGTAAGACACACAAGTGGCATTCAGGAGGTCTTGGGTTCAATCACCATTGGCCTGATGCACCTTCCTGGGCAAGCTTGGCGTCCGCCACCTAGAGATATGCCGGATGTCCTGAAGGACTGAAGTGCAAAATTGACAAAAAAGAAAATTACCATTCGCATTATTACCCTTCCTGGGGTCGGGACCCACTAGAGACGTTTTACAACGACTTGCTGGCGTTTTTAATCACGTGCGGCCTTTCGTGACACATACAGTCCGTGGATGGAGATCGATATCCACGGTCCCCTTGTTTGTGAAACTTCACGTGAAGTTTTGTGGCCGAGGTGTCGACCAGTCCGTGTTCTAGAAAGGCTTACTTACTTCTTTTGATTTTTTAATGGGAATTCCACTGTTCATCCTTTGCATTTTTGCCCATTTTTGAGGTAGGGGGTGATTTTGCAACGTTTCCTCCTCGTTGCTCTCTCTCAGCCTCCATGAGATCGGCAAAACAGAAACATGACCTTCAGAGGACGCAGCCCATTGGCTGACGGAAGAACCCATCCTCAAAAACAGGTGACGAATTCGCTGCCTCGTTGCCCATTGGCTGACAGGAGAATCCAGAGAGTGCTTTGCTTTTCGTTAATTCACAGAAAACGCGTTTTAAAATCTGCAAAACCCGGGAAAACCACATTTCTTAATGCAAAAACAGTGTCACACACGTTCTACAACGCTGCCTGTGGGTCCCGACCCCTGCACGCAACTCCGTGCTTACAGTACAAAATATGAGTTAAATATCAAACAAGTTGAAAGAAGTTAAAAAAAACATGGAAAAAAGTTCGGGGGCAGATTGCCAATTTGCCCCGGACAGGAGGCCCCCTCATGGGCCGTCATCAGTTAATCCATGCAGAAACGAGTGCAGAACAGATCTCGGTTCTTCACAGGGAACCTTGATAACAATAATAACCTCTCATCTGGAAAATCTTGGCACACTACCAAGCACCAATCGGCAAGGCTCCCGCTGGACCACTTATCAATAAATTCCCTACCTCCCGACGAACTTCCTCTTTCTCTCGTCCCCCAATCCACGCCTACCCCAAATGGCTTCTCTCCAGAGAAGCCCCCCCAACCGCTGGAACCGCCTGCCATTGTGTCACTCCTACCCTCAGTAGGAACAACACCCCCGTGTTGCTGGGATCGCCTTCTGTTAACCCCCCCAACCCCCTCCCTCTTCCCCCACTCCCTCCCTCTTACCCCCCTTCCTCCCGCCCCCTCCCTCCCATACCTCTCACAGTCCTCACACAAACCTGATATCCCTGATAGCTGACCAGACATCAATGATGGATCATCCAGTTCCCTCTGAGCACAGGAGCCACATGTGACAAAAGAGGGACTGGAAGAATCTGGATCAGGGGTCTAAAGGCCACAACGGGGTGAATTAAAGACTCGCGCTTTCCCTTAAGTTTGCTGAATGGATGAAAGATCAACAGCTCCACAGACGAGGAAGCCTATGCTGAAATGGAAGAATGACTGACAGAGTAATCAGGGGCACAGCCGAGGAAGAATCCTAATGCAGTGAATCCCCCCTCTCTTGAAGAGAAACAGACATGGTTCAGGACAAGACAGAGAAATAAAACTCCTTATGTCGGGGCGCTGACCCGATTTCCAGCAGGTGTTGCTCACAAGCAATATATTTGAGCCATTGCACTGGGGTTTATGTTGGTCAGGCGGCCCTCACTCACTGACATTCTGAGTGAGTGACACTGACTACGAAACAAAACGACAACGATCAAGATGGTGATGAGTGGTACAATTTCTCTCAGGTATCGAGAGACAGGCGACCAATCATGGGGGCAGAAGGCAGGACCGCCGGGGCATTGCAATCATCTATGTCAGGGTGTCAGATGCCTGAACAGGATGTCAGCTGTCACTTCAAAAAAACAGATGCATTCCATTTCAAATACAGACGATCACTGAGGCCAGGGAGCACACAACCTCATAACGATGCTATTTTCTTGCCACACAAAACC